GGAAGCAGCCTCATGGCTCCTGTGTGAGGTGTCTGACTTCTCGCCCCCCAACATCCTCCTGATGTGGCTGGAGGACCAGCGCGAGGTGAACACTTCTTGGTTTGCCACCACGCACCCCACTCCACAGCCCGGGAGCACCATGTTCTGGGCCTGGAGTGTGCTGCGTGTCCCAGGCCCGACCAGCCCTCAGCCAGCCACCTACACGTGTGTGGTCAGCCACGAGGACTCCAGGACTCTACTCAATGCCAGCCGGAGCCTGGATGTCAGCTGTAAGTCACCCCTAGGCCCAGGGTTGGGAGGGGGACTCTGTGGGGGACCATAAGGAGCTGGACTCCGTACTGGGCAGGGGTGGGGCACTGGGCAGGGGCAGGGCTATGCTGCCCGGGGCACACAGGCTCCTTCTCAGTGCCTGGCAGGAGCAAAGGCTTCCCAGTACTCCTGGGCCGTGGGTGTCCCAGCGCCCATCCTCACTGGCCACACCACGTGCTGGCCCAGGCTGGCTAGCACAGTAAGAGATGGATACGACCCTTCGCCATGCCCTGAGGAGTGGTGGTTTCCTGCTAAGACGCTCCTCATGGCTAGGTGCTGGGCACAGGCCTTCCCTGGTGTGACCGTGAATGTGGTCATCCTGAGCAGCTGCCCTCCCTGGGGACATCTGACTGTCAAGACCACAGTCAGCACCTCTGGGAGCCAGAGGGGATCTCCAGAGACCCCCAGATGTCAGGTTTGGGCTCAGTGCCCAGTGAAAGGTCAGCCCCACACATACCCACAGTGGGCGCCAACCCAGAGTGACAGCTCCCAGCCTCCTGCCAGGCCCACCCTTTGCCACCCCCTTGAGGCACAGCACCCAGACCAGTGCAGCCCCTGCCCGAGCATGGCCCCAGCGGGACATGTGGCCATGAGGGGCTGTGCACACAGCAAGAGGGTGTCCGCTCTGCTCAGGGCCTGCTGCCGGTGCCCCAGCTGTCTAGCCAAGGGAGGCGCAGAAGGGCCCCAGGTGTGGGCTGTAGCCAGGCGCCCAGCCGCTCTGCAGAGCCAGGGAAAGGAAGACACCCAAGTCAATAAGGGGCAGGGCTGAGGGCTGTCCCAGGCTCTGTTGGCCCCAGGGGCTGCCAGCAGCCCTGACCCAGCATGGGCCTTCCCGAAGAGTGACCCTGTGAGGTGGCCTCACAGAGAACCCCCTCCGAGGACAGTGTCTGATCCTGCCTGCCTCACACAGATGGGCCCCACAGCAGTGGATGGCCTGTGGGGCAGCAGCCCCACCTGACCCTTCAGGCACGCCCCCTGCAGCAGCAGCTGCTTCTCAGTCCCCCAACTTCCCTGTCCCCAACAGATGGTCTCCCCTGAAGCTGCAGCCCCAGCCCATGGCTGCCCACCAGGGGCCGGGACTCCCTGTCCACTGCCCCCTCCCCTTCGGGGCACCATCTGTGCTGGGGCCCAGGTTCAGCCTACAGATTCCCATCATTGCCATGGCCTCCTGACCTTGCCTGTCCACCCCCCACTATGGGCTCCACGCTGACCCTCCCCCAGGCTCCCACGCCCAGCTGTCCAGTCATCTCCAGGCACAGTCTGAGATCTCACAGGTGAGCTGGACCATCCACCTGGCCAGACCTGGGAGAGACGGGAAGCTGCCACCACACACCAGGGCCCCAGCTTGCAGTACTATGGGGTGTGTGTGTGTGTACCCGTGTGTACCTAGGATATCTGAGTGAACTCTTATGCCCCCAAGCACAAGTCTCCCTCCCAAGCAGTGAGGCCCAGACGGTGCGGTGGTTAGAGCTAAGGCTTATCCCGGAGAACCCTGGCGCTTTGGTCCAAGGAAGCCCCTGTGCTTTTCTTGCCTCGATTTCCCCTCTTGTCTGCTGAGCCAGCAGGGGCCACGTCCTGGGCTGCTGTGAGGAGGAAGTGAGTTGGTGCTAGGAGGGGCTCCTGTATGTGCGTGGGCGGGCGGGGTGCAGGTATCTGAGCACCCCGGCCTCCACCTGAGAGAGCAGGGCAGGAGCTCTCTGACCCACCCAGACCACACATGGTGTGTTCCATGTGTCTCACGTTATCTGGGGCAGAGAATCCAGCTTCTTTCTAATTTCCAGTTCTTCACAAAGCAATGCCTTTGTAAAATGCAGTAAGAAATACTAGAAAAATGATATGAACAGAAAGACACGCCAATGTTTTGTTATTAGATTTAACAGACCGTGGCCCCGTGAAATGATCCCTGGAACAGATCCGTCCACACCCGCCACTCAGCAGCCCTGGCTGAGCTCACAGTACAACCACAATAAACGCTTGTTGAATGAACACTAGGAAATCTGTGACGTGGCTGGTTCTTGTCAATGCTTCCTGCCCGCCCACAGGCTCTTCCTCATGGAGGGGGCTGTGCTGGCCACGGAAGTGTTTTTCCCAGTCTGGGCTTGCCTTGGGCCCCACTACCGTCTCCAGCTGCAGATTACCTTTTACACACACATTTGTTCGTGACAGACCCTTGCTTAGCCCCTTCCATGGCTCCCTCCTGCTGCTGGGATAAAATCGCCTTGCCTGGATCTCCCCTCCTGGGCCCCTTTCCACCCTCCTGGGTCAGCCCCTCCAGTTCAGGGCATCTGCTTTCCCCCTCATGGAGAAGCCACTCTGTCCTTGTTGCCTGGCTGTGTCTTGCCTTCCACACCTTGTCACAGTGGCCACTTCCTAAAGAAGGCCTCCAAGTGTGCAGGTGTGCAGAAGTGCCCCAGCCTCCCATCACCCTTGTCACAGGAGCCCAAACCACGAGAGTCTATGGTTCTGTCTGTCTGCCCCACTCAGGGCAGCGACATGTCCAGGCGGGGAGGACCCAGTGGGCAGAGGCTCGTCAAGGGGGCAGATGAGCAAGAGGGCGAGGCTGGGAGCTCCCTGGAGATAACCATGCCTCCTGGAAAGACTCGCCGTCATTTCAGCTCCACCCTGTGTGGGGCGGGTGGAGGAGTAGCCTGGCCCTCAGGACCAGGGAGCTTCTCACTCAGCCCCTGTTCCTCCCCAGACCTGGCCACAACCCCCCAGATCCCTCAGAGCAAGGATGAGAACAGCGATGACTACACGACCTTGGATGACATGGGCAGCCTGTGGACCACCCTGTCCACGTTCGTGGCCCTCTTCGTCCTCACCCTCCTCTATAGCGGCATTGTCACTTTCATCAAGGTCAGGGGAGCCGCCAGGCTCTCGGTGCCCCTCGGGGTGGGTACGGGGCAAGGTGCCCTTCCAGGGGACATGCCGGAGCTGGTCCGGATATCTTGGACAGGGCAGAGGCAGTGCTGAGGGAGCCTAGAGGACATGCAGGCCCACTGTGGGCTGTGGACACTGCCAAAGGCCCTCTTGACCCTGTGGGTAAAGGACAACACCCCCTCCCCTGCTCCTCTGTCTCCCCTGCCCCTGCACCCCTCAGGCTTCTAGCCCCCGTCTGACCCCAGGGGCTGTCTTGCAGGTGAAGTAGCCCTAGAAGAGCAGGACGCCCTGTACCTGCAGAAAAGGGAAGCAGCCTCTGTGCCTCATCCGTGGATGCCAGAGAGCAGAAAGGACCCACCCTGGACTCTGCTGTACGCAGGAAAATGCACCAGCCCCTGCCTCCAGCTCCCCTCTGTCCGCCACAGAACGCAGTCTTCTAGACCAGGGGAACGGGCACCCATCACTCCGCAAGTGAAGCGGAGCACCCCTGCCCTGGCCCTAACCCCTGTGCCTCCTTCCTGTGCTTCCCCCAGAGCCAGCTAGTCCCATCTGCACCCCCCGGCCTCCCCATAAACACGCTTTGGTTCATTTCACCTGCCTCCTGTGCTTTGTCCCAGCGGCCTGGATTCACCTGAAGTTAAAGGACACAGGGAGCTGAAGGCAATAGGCAGGGAGTTTGGGGTGTCAGCAGCAACAGGGAACACAATAGCCAAAGCTGTCACAGCAAGAACTGAGCAGAGACCCTGCTCTGAAGTTATGGGCTAAGAAACGCCCCTCCACACACCAAACACAAACATGCACGCTCACCTGTACATGCATACACATGCACACACACATCTATGTGCACATACACATATGCACAGCTCACAAACACATATGCACACACATGCAGTACACCCACATGCATGCAAACAGGCAGATGTACAGGCATGGGCACACACGCACAAGGCATGCATGTGCTGGTCTGCAGACACACACATCTGCATGCACATACACGGATGTGCACCTGCACACACACAAGTGCACATAGGCATCAAAAACACATATGGTCATGCACACACATACACACAGACATGCACACTTACACATGCACACACCATGAGAAGATGGCACAGGAACAACCTTGCATATGGAGCTCTTTCTGTGTGTATCTGCCTGCACCTCTTACTGTCTGCATGACTGTGGGCAAGAGCCTGAACCCTGTACCTCCCTTTCCTCATCAGAATGGGGTGAAAATACCTGTCAAGTAGAGTGAGGTGACAAGTGAGTAAAATTCTATCTGAAAGGGGCTCAGCAAGGACCCGGGTATTGGTCGGCCCTCCTGTTATCGTCTGCTGTGAGCTGAACATGTGTGTCCTCCTGAAATTCATACATTCATATATTCATACATTTCTCCCTGAAATCCTAACCTCCAATGTAATGGTATTAGAAGATGGGGTTTTTAGGGGTGCTGAGGTCATAAAAGTGGGGCCCTCATGAAGAAGATTAGCGCCCTTATAAGAGAGGCCCCAGAGAGCTCCCTCACCCTTTCTCCCTTGCGAGGAGATGCTGTCTATGAACTAGGATGCAGGCCTCGCCTGACACCCGTCTGCTGGAGTCTTGGTCTGGGACATTCAGCCTCCAGAACGGTGAGAAATCAGTTTCTGTTGTTTATGAGCCACCATGTCTATAGTATGTGGAAGTCATCAGAATCAAAATTGAGTCACCTATTTTTTTTTTTTTAATCCCTGACAAGTAGAGCCTAGGAAGACCAAGAAGAGAAGTGGGTTCTCATCCATAAACACTTGATAACAAAAACTACTATAAAAGACACTACAAAAACTGCAACTGGCACAAAGGCTATCACACCCTTACACAGAAAATACTTCTGTGAGGACATCTTCCCAGCAACGGCCTGTCCAACCTCCGACTGGCATTGCCTTTGTTATTGGTCCTTGTAGCAAGGGTAATGATCTCAAAACAATCATGTAATCCTCCTCACTTTTCCTTTGAAAGCCTTGATCTCCCTTTGCTTCCCTGAATACGTACATAGTTGACTATGGCAGGCATATCCCATTGCAATGCTCTATCCGCAAATAGATATATTTTTCTTTTAGAGGGCCTTTCTCTGTTATTTAGGTTGAGATAAATGGAGTCAGAAGTGGGATGTGGAGAAGGATCACTGCTGGAAGGAATCAGCAGTTCCTGGGGCCGGTGTGCATATTCACTTGAGCCCTTTGAGCTCTCAGCTTCCACGGCTTGCTTTTTCTGACCTACTCAATCTTCTCTCAGGCCAAACCCTCCTTCTTTTTAGAAGATGCTTTTTTAATATTAGGTCGGGTTTGTTTTGGTTATTGGACTGCCTTCATAAAGGACCGTATGTCCCTCCTGGAACGATAAAAGACTTTTTGTGTTTTCTGGCAAGTCCTGTTTGGCATAAAGACATTCCGGTCTGAGTACTCTGGTTTCTACAGAGTTTGCATTCTGTCTCTGAGGGATGTCTTCTCTGGCGAGGTGACTTTGGCTCTTTCTGTATGCCTCATTTAATATTTTGTTGGGTATGCATGCTTGGGTTAACATTTTTGTGAGCACCGTTATCTTGCCTTTTTTTTTTTTTTTTTTTTGCTGTGGTTGTGTGTATCTGTCAATGATTTGGCTCTTTTCCTCTGCTTGTTTCTAAAAATCTTTTGAGAGCAAAACAAACATTCTAAATGGTGGGCACAGGCTGGCTCATTAAAAGCTGCTACAGCAGTCACCACCATCTAAAGCACCAGTCCAAACTGTCGGCGTGGCCTCATAGCATCTGTAGAATGTTCTTTACTGTAAAAAGATTATTAAGAAGGGGAATAGGTTTTTAAATATTAAGGCATGCCAAGTTTTCTGGGACTCCCGCTGGCTACATCCTTGTGCACATTTTTAAACTAATGGGCAAATTACATCAAGGAAAACTTAAGAGTTCAAATGGTCATTGTTCCAACTCTCTAACAAAAACCCTGCAACTGTAGTCACCATGTAGAGCCTCCTAACTCCTCTGTCTCTCTATTTTTTTTTTCTGCCGACTTTAAACCTGCTGATGTTTTTACTCATGTTGCAATAAAACTCACTGGTTACAGCATTCCAGTCAAGATTTTTTGTTTTTTGTTTTTTGTTTGTTTGTTTTTTGAGCTGGAGTCTTGCTCTGTCACCTAGGCTGGAATGCAGTGGTTCCCTTCTTGGCTCACTGCAACCTTTGCCTCCCGGGTTCAAGTGATTCTCCCACCTTAGCCTCCTGAGTAGCTGATTACAGGTGCTCACCACCATGCCCAGCTAGTTTTTGTATTTTAGTAGAGATGGGTTTTCACTTTGTTGGCCAAGCTCGTCTGGAACTCCTGACCTCAAGTGATCCGCCTGCTTTGGCCTCCCAAAGTGCTAAAACTATAGGCCTGAGCCACCGCGCCTGGCCCAAGATGTTTTAAAGTTTCTTAAAGGTTTTAAATTAATGGCTTTACAAATTACAACAGCTTTATGGTAACCAATGACCTAGATCTAAGAGTCATTTCTGTTGAAAATGTAAATTTAGGTTTGCCTGGCTAACAATTGCTTAGGCTGATGGAATAGCTAACTGAAGGACTGACAGTCTAAAAGAAAAGAACTAGGTAAATATTTATAGAAATTAGGCTCTCAGATAGAACAGGCCAAAATCTCGAGCTTAGAGCAGTAATACAAGGTATCTCTGTCTGCCATAAAAATTTTGCTTTGCCACACAGGTGCCAGAAAAAGGAAAAACACTGCTAAAATGCTTCCCTGCATGCATTGTCTAGTCCAGAAAATCAGACCAGCAACCAAAAAAATAGATCTGTTACTAGTATAGACTAGCTGAAGATTTTTGTTTCTCATATGCAATTCAGCCAGTCCTAGCTAAAACACAATCACTGAAAATTTAACCTTAAATTCATTTAAAACTGAAAAAGGTCTTTTGAAATCAAACTAATGCAGACACTGTTTTAATGCAGTTTTCTGCTTTAACGCAGAAACCCAAAATTCTGATCCATGGCTCTCATTAGATTACCTATCAGGACAAATAAAGTTTAGCATGTGAACAAGTCCCAGTTTTGTCAAAAACATAATTTGGATTGACGTGTCTTTTAGAAATT